TCCTGAACGAAGGCAAAATGTGGTAAATCGAAGGAATGTTTCAATTTTTTCCTGAGAAATTCCAAGAAACTTTTGTTTTTTAGTCAATATAGAAGGATGGCGGTGGATCTATTAACAAAATCTATCTATCTATAAATTAACGTTTAGACCTCGAAAACAATGAGAATGCCTCACAGTTAGGCAGTGTCTGGGCCGCCAACCTTTATCTAGCAGCATCCCATTCGTGATGTGTGGCGTAAGTACACTCTTGTTTTTGTGGATTCAAAATTGCCAACGCCACTGAGTCCTGACGCGTTTTGTTGGCTGCAGTTGCTAGTCGTTCCTCGATAGTATCCCAGGGGAAGCGGCTGGAATAGTCCTTTTGTTCTATCGGTGTCCTCGTGCCGTGCAGGTGGCGCGCAGACATGGTGCCGGGCCGTGCTATGCCTTCGGTTGCGATGTACGATCGTAATTAGACTGGCAGCTGGCGGGGGTCTGGGATCCCTCATCACGTGTCGGGATGGTCAGCCAACTCCTCATCTCTCCCCCTCCCTCCACCATCAGCTCTCATCTGCCGCGCCCCATTTCCGGCGCCCCACCCCCCTCCTCCGCCCTTCTTGCGGAACACCCTCTACTTATTCCTCCCCCACGGGATATCTTTTACCAACTTGCTCTTTGACTCGTTCATTATGGAAATGGCGTTTTATGATACAGACAACTCCCAGCCCCCCACTTCAGCCTCTTTCTGATTGGATTTGCTGGGGGTATTACATACTTTAAAGGGCAGCACGCCTGTTAGGCACCAAGGAGCATTATAACATCGTTCAAATGTAAGGGTCGATATCCTCCGTAGTATGTATGCTCCGTGTAGTGTGTAGTTTTTTTTTATCAAAATGATTGTAAGTTCTACAAGACAATTGTTCATGAAATTTTGTAATGTGAAAATCATTTGTTACAAAAATTACAAACGTATTTTAACACGTTAAAAGGACATCTTGGTTTCCAAAAGCCTAGCACTTCAGGTGTGAGGCAAAATACCCCACACCAAACGGGTGTGAGGTAAACATACCTCACACTTAAGTCAGTAGGCGATACACCAACACAACTGAAACCTTACCCTAGCCACGAGAGCCACTATCTGCAGTTACCATCTGCGTCTTACTCTGGTTGTTTTTATGTTACTTTTCAACTGTTGTCATTTTTTTCATTCAGTGTAAACCAATTTAAAGAGTTTGCACACGTTAATCTTGAATAATTTTGAATGTCGACGGAATTCTGAATACTTTCGTGTACCGAGAATATACGCAGTACTCCTCGCAGACTCCTCTTCAGCTTTATAGGAGGCGCGGCGAGGAGGAAGGAAGGAGTATAACCGAGAAAGGGGGGAGGGGAGTGAAATTGGAAGACGGAAAAGACGGCTACAAAATGAACACGAGAACTTGACACGAAATGATAGAGTACGGACGGGACCGGCGGGGCCGGCCCGGGAGGGGCTGGTTGGCCAGGAGATCGAACACACCCGCCGCCACACGGGTCGGCGTAGCCGTCGACGCGGTAGGCCCTAAGGTGGGCGCCTACATTCGGGTTTCG